AATCCACGGGTAGAAGAAAGACATTCATAGCAAAAGTTGGCATGGCCTCAATCACAGTTTTCAAGAGTACCTCCCGCCATGCTTTAGATAAAAACTTGTTATTCCAATTCTGGATTCGTTTAAGAACTCTATTCCTCAGATAACCAAGAATCTCCCTTTTGCTTCTTGATATGCACTAATTAGTAGTGCATAAATGTTTGTTTTTATGTTTGATTTGTGTGGATTGTTTACCGTTTTAGTAATTTGAGAACATTTATTTGATTTTAATTGTAATTGTATTTTAATCCCCATTTGTGAGTTGTAAAGTAGAATTAGGCATTATGGTGTTAAAAAGAGGACTTTGAAGTGAAGCAAAAGGAGATTGGACTGTTCAGGAGCTGAAACCCGACCGGGCATAAACACTTGACCCGGTCGGGCAAGATTTAACAAACGAAGGAGACTGGAAATTGCACAGACCCGGTCGGGTCCCCTATACCACCCGGTCGGGTCGGATTTGACCCGGGACAATTTAACGTGCAAAAACACAAAAACGTGGAAGATTATCTGATCTTGACATGCACCCGGTCGGGTGGGCTCTTTACGCGGTCGGGCACCCGACCAAAGGTGTTGTAAAACACCTATAAATAGCTCCATTTTCCTTCACTTTTATTCATTCCTTCTTCCATACTCTTAAGCTCAGTTTAGAATAGCATTTCTTTATATTTTTCTAGCTATGTTTAGTCTCCAAATGAGGAGCTAAACTTCCATTCTTGGTTTTTCTCTTGAAGCTTGTTGATTATTAAAGTTGTGAGTTATTTTCTTAACTTCTTCTCTTGATTATTAATTCTTCCCTTAATCTCATTCTATATTAATGTTGGAGGGTTGCTAAGTGACGATTAGTTAACGTTCCGACATTAATTACTACTAGAAACGATCAACGAACCGATGGTTAATCGTTGGTGGTTTCACAAGTAAGTAACTTCGGTTTATTAATGCACGGTCGTGGTTAATAAACTTAAGAGGGATCAATTTTGTTGGTTAAACCGAGACCGTTGTGTTAAGGTTATCAATCTCAATTGATTTCATCAAGGAATTAAAAGATTGAATGCTACTATTATATCGGTATACGGCGTTGTTCTATATTTGATTAATAGTAAGGGTTGTTAATGAACGGTCATTGTTAATAACTACCCTCGATGAATTGGAGATACTCCTCGATTGAGTATTCGAGAGGGGATAAGTTATAGATATGACACGGATCAACTAAAATATATCAACAAGTGGAAAGTAGCAAAGCCAAGTCCCTTTTATTCTAAAATTAAACACATATAGGTTGTTCATCTTAGTTTCTTAATTAAATTAAATCATTCAAAACCAAAACCCCCCTTTTTTAATTACTAGTTTCATAAAAAGAGAATCATTCCTTTCCCTGTGGATACGAACTCTACTACGCTATATTACGTATAAGTGTTTAGTATTGAATTTATTTTGACTCACCGTGACAAAGTGCTCGTCAAATTTGGCGCCGTTGCCGGGGAAAGGCAATTAATTTTTCTTTTTATTTTATTTCAAGAAAAAAAAATTATATATAAAGTTTTCTATTTTGCTGAGCTTTGTTTGAGTATATGGTAAAAACCCGATCCATAAACCAACTCACCTACCAAACAAACCCCGAAATAGAAAAAGCTCTCGAGCGGTTAAAAAGTAAATTCTCAAGTACCGATTCGGGGGAATCTCTCCGAGGAGCCAATATCAATGGCTCTTGAAACAAGAACGCTGAGTGATAAGTCCGTATTTAGACACGCATTTAATGCGTGTTGGGGTCGGATTTTGATGGTTTTCCTAGATTTAAGGTGTTACAAGTCTCAATTTTAGCTCAAGTTTTGTTTACCGGACGTTGGTTCGAGTTTTGTGTTGTTTGGAGTCAAAATCACGGAATTTGAGCCCAGCACCGGTGCTTGAGGAGCAAACGGGATGATTCTAGAAGCATTCAAGAGTGAATTGAGAGCATTGGAGGTCACCGGGAGGTTCACGATGAATATTTGAAGGAAAAAAAATTCTAGAATTGGCTACGGGATCAAAAGAAGACAAAGAGAGCTTGAAAACGGTGTTCAGGATGACCTTCTTTCAATCTTTCAAGCATATATCTTTGTAGAAGCGTTCAAACGACACGATTCAAGTTGCATCTGAAAGCCAACTTCAAGGGCTACAACTCATATGAAGACATCATTCCGAGAATCTGAAAGGAAGAAGGTGAAAACAAACGATGAAGTCAGATGCTCCCTGTTGGGATTTCAGAATGAGACATTCCACCATTTTATTCATATCTCTTGATTGGATGATTCAAATCCAATTCGACAAATTGGGGTGGATATAGGACTTCATTAACTACAACTTGCATGAAGGAAGTTTTGTCAAATTCGGACTAGATAATCCGGAAAATGCACTGGTAGATACGCACGCGTGCGTGGTGGGACGCACGCGTGCTTCCGATGAAGAACTCGGTCTGGACCTTACTGGCAGCCACGCACGCGTGCGTGGCAAGGGACGCACGCGTGCGTCCAACGATTTTACGTGTTTCTCTGTCGGACGCACGGACGCAACGCACGCATGCGTAGGCGCCGTGCCGCCCGTGCGTACCTAATTTGTTTCCTAATTTAGCCTAAATCACTATGTTTCCTATAAATATCACCCCCTTAACCCTAATGAAGGGGGATGGAACTTTAGAGAGAGATTAAGGACGAGATTAGAGAGCTTTTTCAGCCAGGTTTTTCAATTCCTTAACATTCTTTGTAAATTCCTACTTTTTGATTAATGACAATTAATTCTATTTATCCCAATTCTATTGATTCTTCAATTATGAATAGGGAGTAGTTTTAATTAGGGATTTGGGGTTGATGAAGGGGTTAATCATGATGTATGGTTAGGTTCTTGATGGTGTAAATTGCATGAATGTCGTTTAATTTGTGTTTGAATAATTTAATTGATATCTTTTGTAACCTAGAATGGCCACTAGAATTACAATTGCATATAGAATAAATTAAGAGAGATCTAATTTGTTCTAGGACACATTCACACACACTTAATCGTTCGCTAAGAAATTAGTAGCGATTAAGGGGTCGTAAGCTCGTTCGTCTTGGCAACAATTTAGGATCCTGTCGCATGAGAGATCAGCCTGGTCCCCTAAATTATTTTACTCTACGCCGCGAGAGCGGTAAGAACTTAGTATTGATTAGCTAGGCTCAATTAAATTAAATACATGTAATTAAGCCTGATCTGTCAGAAATCTGATTACCCCGGAATCAATCCCTGTTTCCTTCGTCGTTAATTAAGAAGAACCCAAATTTTTACTTTTAGTCGTTTATTTGCAATTTTAGTTTTCTCAAGGAACCAAATCTCGCACGACCGCATCTGTTTTATTTATTCTTTATCGCTGATTTTAGTTAATTCTTAATTCCCTTTTTCCGTCCCTGTGGAGATGATACTCGTACTTTCACCGCTATATTACAATCTTTTTAAGTGCGAGAAAACTCACATCAGTTTTTGGCGCCATTGCCGGGGACGGTGTCGGTCTTAAGGGTTAATTTTACTCAGCGATTCGTTTTTAGTTTTTCGTAGGATTTTTGTCAGCTAACCTTGCAGGTCATCTCTGTTTATGCATACACGTTCTAAGAGGGGAGAACCGCTAATCCCTCTTAACCTTGAGATTGAAAGGCTCGCCAGACAAAACCGCAAGGCTCAAAAGGAAAAGAATAACATGGACCACCAGTCTTCATCTGGAACCGCAGGGATGTCGGGTAACCCTAACCCCACATCTCGGCAAGATTTCTATGTGAACACGTCACCCCAATCTTCACCACCAATTTCACCTAGAAACCCTCCAGGTTTTCAAAATTACCGCACTCCGATTTTTTCCCAAAATCAGCCTTCACCACAATTTAATCTCCCTCCATTATTTCACCTCTTTCAAAATACCCCTACTGCTCCTGAAACCAATTTTCAAAATCAAGTTTATGGGATGCAAGGAGCAGGGCAAAGTATTCCCGTTTTCCAACCGAGACAGAACTCACCTCCAATCAATCAAGCTACATTCCAAAATCAGACCCAGTACCAAAATCCATACCCCAATCAGTTTCAAAACCAAACCCAAGTCCCACCTACTCAGCCACAACCAGCCCCTCAACCTAGACACCAGGAGCCTCCACCCAATCCATATATACCGCACAACAATCCACTCTATTAGCGCCAGACCATTGCAGAGTTCCTTACACCAAACGTTTCAGAGTACGATAGTATTCAAGTGCCGGGAGTTACTACCAACCGTTACGAGATCAAGCCGGAGGAAAGATTACTGCCACGACACCCTGAAACATCTGCAATTTTTTATACTTATTTAGTTAAATTTCGAATCCAATTTAATTAATTTCAAATCAATTTCAATGGTAATTTCTTCAGAGCTTCTGTTTTTTTGACAATGTATTACCTTCTTTCTAAGTCCAGAACAAATTTCCCCCACATGTGAATAGATAAATTCAACCACCTTCAGAAATGATTTTTTTTGATTGATTTTTAACATTTTTATGTTTTAGTAAGAAGGTACTAAAATTATGCTAATTTAGATATTTTCATACATATATAATAGGATGAGCTATATTAGTATATCTGTAATGAATACTATCTGTAATGAATATTAATATATGAATGGCTTTAATGAACATATATTTTTCACAGTTCAGAATTTAATTATCCAGTATAATGATCTTAATTTAACACCTAGTTGTGAGTCTGTGACCATCAAGCTGATATGTTAATTAAAGAACAAATCTTTAATCAAACTGATTTGTTCATCTGCTTTGTGAAAATGACAAACCATACTATTCGATGAAATGTGCTAAGTTTCTTCCATTGGATTCAATCATTAAAACTTCTAAGAAATCTAAGTATCTTATCCTACACATCTTTTATAGATATTTTTATCCAAATGATAATTATTCTTAATGATCCTTGGAATCTTTTTATAGGAAGTTCGCATTCAAGCATCTATATCCCGTACGGAAATTCAACTATTTGAAAGCCAGTTGGAAGAAGGTGGGTTGTATGCCATGTGTAATTTCACTGTCAAGGCGAATAATGGAAAGTGGAGACCGGCATCACACCCTTTCAGGTTACAATTCCATGAAGGAACTAAGGTTAACTGTCAGGAATTAAAAGACCATAAGGACTTTCCCCTACACATTTATAATTTTACTTCTTTCAACGATATTCACAACTGCCCTGATGGAAAAAGTACTACAGATCTCATTGGTAAGAGTTTAGTAATATAATAATACTTATATGTAGAACTTTATAATAAACACAAATCATATAACTGCATCTATATATGGTCACCTAAATGAGTTTCTATTTCTTATTTTTAGATGTAATTGGTGTGTACAATCCCCTAGACAAATTCAGTAAGCATTATACCGATTCAGGATCAACATACACTAACTTTTATATTCGGGACATCGAGTTAAGTATATCAAATTGGCCCCGTTTCCAATTGTATGTTATTAAGATTATCTATATTTATCTTTCATTCTCATTCTTACGCTTATCTTCTTTCTTTATAGGAATAAAAGTCTCTTTTGTACTTTATGGAATGTGTATGTGGACCAGTTTGAGACGTATTTATCTCACTTATGTTCTTCACTTGATTATATTATTCCTTTCGTTTTCCATGTTCACTACTCTTCTAAGAACTTGCTCATTTTTATAATAACTTTTTAATTTTAGACATTAAAATTTTATATGCTATACCACTTATGTATTTAATTTCACTTTTGGTTTGTTCATAGCAACTTTGGTCTGTTCCCAGCCAAACGCAGGTTCATATAAAACTTATCCACCTCCAGTTTAGAGGTAGTCTTCTTAAGTACAATTTTTGAAACTTCAGGCAAATTCTTTCACCTATTTTTCGAATTTAATCCCAATTAGTCCTAAAGTAATCAATTTGATGATTCTGGATACACACATTCATCAAAAGTTTTGGTGTTTAAAACATATACAAAGGAGTACTGCCTCGATAAATATGATGAATCCTAACTTACATTCTTAATTTAACGAAATAAAGTGTACTTGAGTAATCATAATGTGTTGATTATCTGAATGATTGGGCAGATTAGTTTGGTTAGTCTATGAACTCTCTCTTAATACGTATCTCTTTGTTAATAGTAATTATCTCTACTCTAATAGATTTCATTTTTATTCTAATTACGATTACATTTATTAAAACTATATGTAAGTTGTACATTAACTTAACACACATGAAGCACCAGAATGACAAGCTGCATTCAACACAACCAAGCTTTTAGGAAATGAACTCCCCAGAAGGAAAAGTTCTATTTTGATTATTTCCATGTAACTAAATCAAACTTTTGAAATTGCACTTTTGAAATTTAAAAAAATGTGTATCTTTCCCAATTAGTTATGTAACCAGTTACTGAATAAGTATCAAATGTCATACTCACATGTTAGATTGAATAAATATTCTTAGCAAAGAAGCCTGAAAGGCTGATTGTTATTTCTATAATAATTTAATAAACGTATTCTGAAGCAGGACTATTCAACGCTCATATAATTTAATGAGTGTACTGTGATGAGGATCTTAATGAGGTCTCCTTTTAAATGTTCAGGACTATAACTCCGATGAGGATCTTGATTTACTTTTTTCATCTCCAGTCACAGTTGAATCTAATATAGTAAGTACTTACTGTTTATTTATCCATCCGAATATGTTTGACTCTTCACCCCTAATTGACAAATGTTTGCATGTAGACACCATCTTCAACTGAAGACGACATCATAATACAAACCACCCCTTCTTCAACATTAAAGAGGCCTTCAAACGCTGAGCAACATGTTGACTCTTCTACGCAGAGTTCAACAAATAAGAAACTCAAGGGAATCAAGATTGAAAAGCCGGATGCTTGAGCATTATCTTTTCGTTTACTTTGTTCTTTTACTTTTCGGAATTAATGTTATTTACCTTGTTTATTTGTGTTTTAGTAAGTTAGCTTCTGTTTCAGACACTAGATACAGTTCCTTTTATGAACGAATAATATTCATTTGCAATTTCTAAATGCAAATGATGAATCAATATGCCAAGCTCGACTGGAATAAATCTTTTCACTTCTATATACTTCGTATTATTTTTAGGCATCGTTGCTGGATTTTGATTACTCTAATTTCGTACTATGAACTATAAGTGACGTGCACTCGTCGTTAGGTGCACTCAAAATAAATAATCAATACGACACAAATACGTAGTATAGTGCAGTAAGGTTCGTATCTACAGGGAAAGGAATACTTTTCTTTTATATAAATAGTAACAAAAAGGGGTTTTTAGATTTGTTTGGTTTAATAACACTAAGATAAACGACCTATATGAGTTTAATTCAATGAGATGATGACTTGGTTTTGCTTTTATCCACTTAATGAAATGTTCGTCGATCCCGGTTATATCTTTAACTATCTTCCTCTCGAATACTCAATCGAGGAGTATATCCAGTTCATCGAGGGTAGTTATTAATAACGAGATGCGTTCATTAATAAAACTTACTATCGAGTCAATATAGAACAAGCGCCGTATATTAACTTGATAGTAGCAATAAACTTAAGATGAAAACGATTGAGATTGATAACCTCAACACAAGCGGTTTATTGGTTTAATCAATACAATTAATTCCCCTTGGCATATTAACCATGAGATGCATGCATTAATATTCCAAGTTTACTACCGTTGAAAGAACCGGATTAATAACAAGCGTATTAACCGATTGATTCTAGTAATAATTAATATGAGAAACAATACTAGTTGATACTTTAAGTGATGTTTAAGATATTAACATGAAATATGAATAGGAATTAATTAATACTCAAGGAAGAATATTAAAATATATGAATCCTACTATGATTAGTATCAAGATGTTAACTAATTGTCATCTTAGTAACACTCCCCGATATTATCATAGAGGAAGAAATAGCTATTACTATAATCAATGTCAAGATGTTAACTAATTGTCATCTTAGTAACACTCCCCAACTTTGATATAGAGATAGTATTTTGAAAGAAAGAATTAATATTCAAGGAAGAAGATTAAAGAAAATAACTCACAACTTACAAATTCATTAAGCTTCAAAGTAGCAAAACCAAGATGGAAGAGTTTAGCTCCTCATTTGGAGACTAAACATGATGAAAAATATAAAGAAAGAGCTATTCTATACTGAGCTTAGATGTACAAGGGATTGGATATCTTTTTGTGAAGGAAAGGAGGTGTATTTATAGGTTTTTGGGATGGGAATCGGGTACTCGATCGGGTATATACATGGTACCCGATCGAGTATGTGTGTAACACCCGATCCGAGGTATACTCGACCGGTTTCAGGCTATTTTCTAAGTGTATACCCGATCGAGTATATATGAATACCCGGTCGAGTATGCTTAGAAAGTGGTATTCGGGCTATACTCGACCGGTTTCAGGCTAGTTTCTAAGTGTATACCCGATCGAGTATATATGAATACCCGGTCGAGTATGCTTAGAAAGTGGTATTCGGGCTATACTCGACCGATCTTCGTTTGCAATTTAAAGGCATACCCGATCGGGTATGTCGGTCTACCCGATCGGGTATAGACATAGAATCGTGGCCAAAATCTTCCCTGCATGTTCCTTTGTCTTCGGATCTGATCCGATTTGAAGTTCCAACCTAATACCCGATCGAGTATAGCTAATACTCGACCGAGTATAGATCAAAATTCAGGATCTTCTTTTGTCTTTGAACTTTTGCACCTTCTCTTCACTTTTTAGGTTCACCAACTGTACTTTGGGTGACCAAAACCTGCTTAAGCTCAGAATATGTCTAATCTAACCTATTTACAAGAATTTAACAATCTAATCTATTACACCAAAAGTGTGTAATTTCCAAAGTAAAAGTCAAGCAAAACTAATTAAAAACATAAACATAGAAATGGAAATTACGAACGTATCAACTCCCCCACACTTAAACCTTTACTCGTCTCGAGTAAGATCAAATGTTTACAAGTGTCAATGTTTGTCCAAAAGTTCCACAGTTCAACAAAAATATAATACAAACACAAAGACCACCAAGGATTACAAAGAAAAATGAGTTTTAAACTCAAATCACAAAAGAGCATCTTGGGTTTAATGGCCTCCTAGTGTTGTCTTCTTTTCACCTCCTCTCTTCTTCTTTATCTTGAATCTTCATATTCTTCATAAGGATACAATGAGTGCCTGCAAGAACAAACATTTCTCTCATATCTCTCATTTTGCCTAGGAGCCTTTTCAGGTTTTCATCCTAGCACCTCTTTTCATTTTCCATTCTCTCCAACTCACTCAATTTTTTTTTATATAAGCCTTTTTTGCTTAGATTGCCCATTTTGTTGGGTTTTCAACCTAACTAGCATTTATTTTCTTTTGTTTTATTTTTTTTTTTTTTAATTTTTTTTTTTGAGTGTAAAAGTTCAAAAGAATTACATGCATAGTGCTAGGTACAAATGAGAATTACATACCATCATGAGTGTCTCCCCCGCACTTGAATCACGCACTGTCCCTAGTGCCCGCCTTCTCCTCCGTAGTAGCTCCCTCCAAAACCGCTCCCTTGGCCACCATCTCCCATGTAAGTGTCCCCGCCATCTCCGCCGTCGTACCCTCCACCACCGGAGCCAGATCCTCCAAAGTTACCCCAATGAGTGGGGTCATACCATGAGGGTGGTGGAGGAGGGTTCGCCATGGTATGGAAGGATCCCTGATGTGCCATAAACGAGTACATAGGCCCGTAGAACCTATGTTGGTCTTCCTCATACCAGTGTCTATCGGCCTCCCGGAGCTCCTCCAAACGTTGAAAGCCGGCCCTTTGCTCATCCTCCAATCTTTGAAAACCGGCTCTTTGCTCTTCCTCTAATCGGTTGAGCCGGTTGTCCATTTGAGCTATTCCCGTTAGAAGTTGTTGTTGACCCTCCAGAAGTTGTTGAAAGAAGTCGGGTGGTGGAGGGTTTTGGCTTTGTTCTGGGAAATCATGGCTCATGGTTGGATGGCTATGGAGTTGCTCGTAGGGCTCGTCATCGGGTTGGTTTTGGGGGGGTTCCTGTTCCGGTTCTTGAAGATGTGGTGGGAGGGCGTTTGGGAAGAGGTAATGTTGATCCGGCCTGCCTGTTTTGAAGTGGAGTTGGGGGAGTTCTGGGTTGGGCAAGAGGAAGTATTTGAGGGGTTTGGGGTGGATGTGCCAGTTGTACATATTTTTGGGCCTTTCTTCACCATAAACGGTGTGTGAAAAAGAAGTACAACCCGAGTGGCCTAGCCAAGATATGTTCATTAAACAGTAGTCGGGTATAGGAGAGTCATCCGTATACCCGAACTTTGTGGCCAAGTGCATAATCACCCCGCCCACTACGATAGCACCCTTTGCCACACTTTCCTTCTTTAGATGAGCCCACATGAGATTACAGAGGTTGAAATCCACGTGGATACGGAATAAGGCAACCGAGATGAGGCATACATCCCCCATCCTTGTATGATGGTTGTTGGGACGTCCAAGCAAGGAGTTGGCAAGGAATTTCAAAAAGAGGCGTAGGACTGGATGTTGGACATGACTAATGTATAGTTGGGAGGAGCTAAATTTGGTCTCCCCGGTCATCTTGGTCCATAGGGTGTGGCCGAAGGCGGTATTGTCGGATATAGACTTTTGGTACGGGACCGGAATACCAAAGTGTTCGGCAAACTCAAGTTTCGTGATGGTGTGATTGTGATTAAACAAACGAAACCTGAGTTTATCATCCCTAAAGTCCTCCTCATTGTTCTCAAAGTGCACCGAACTTAGGAATTCATAGATAATTTTTTCATTTGAGTTGTATTGCATTTTGAAAATTTTATCCATATGCAACTCATGAAAAAATTTCTTCATTATTGAGTATACTCCTAATTCCTTTAGAGCATCAAGGCATAAAAAGCGGGAAGGTTTGACTTGCCTTTCAATTGTGGACAAGAAGCGTGTGCATTGTTCGTTGTCCACGAAAAGGATGTCCTCGTAGCCCGGGATGATTGTCCTAGTGCTTGAGCTCTGCCCTTTCTCTTTCCTTGGAGTCATTTGAAGTGATTTTGGCCTTTGAAAACCGAAATTGGAATGGTGGGGGTAGGGTTTTTCGGACCTCTGAAAGTTGGGGGAGAATGGGATTGTTGGGTATGAATGTGTAGAGGAGGATGAGGGGAGTGTTTTGGCGTTGGAATGGGTGGATTTGGTGAAGATTTGGAAGAGATATGGTAGAGAGAAGGTGTAAAAATGGGGTTTGGGCGTTTTTTGTTCGAGATGGGGTTGGGAATTTGGGGAAGATGAAGTGTTTTGGGGCTGATTTGGGGTTATAAGACCCGTATACCCGATCGAGTATGTGCTGGTACTCGGTCGGGTATGACTGGAAAGTGAAGTTTTTGAGCGACCTACCTCCTGTACTCGATCGGGTATGGTGGGGTTACCCGGTCGAGTATGCTTAGAAAATGAACTTTTTGAGCAGCCTGTCTCCTGTACCCGGTCGAGTATTCCTCCATACTCGATCGGGTATGTGCTTTTTTTTTTTCATTTTTGAAGCGTGTACTCGGTCGAGTGTGGGAATCAGTCCCCTTCAATTTTAGCATTTCTAACGATACCCGACCGGGTGTATAGTGATACCCGATCGGGTATTGCTTATTTTTCAAATTTTGAATGCTCCCTCGATCGAGTAGTGCCCGGTCCCTTTTCTTTTTGCTCATACCCGACCGAGTATAAGGTTATACTCGATCGGGTATGTCCTCAGATGTTCAAAAACCTGCAAAAATTTTTTATTTCTTTTTTTCCAAAAACCCATGATTAGTGCCCTCTCTCTCAACCTCTCAAAGACATAATTGAAAACATTGACAGGGGGGTTAAAAGAAAAAAAATGTACCTTGCTTGGGTTGCCTCCCAAGAAGCGCCTTAGTTAACGTCGCGGCACGACGCCATTGTTGTGTTCATTCTTCAAAGATTGGATCGATGAGATCCATGCATTCAATGCTTTCTTTCTGGAAACCTTCAAGGAATGGTTTGAGTTGATGTCCATTAACCTTGAGGATTTTTCCGGTATCGAGGCTTTTTATTTCCACTGCACCATGGGTGTAGACTTTGA